GGCCGTTGAAGCTGATAGCAACTTCCACAATACAGCCAAGCCAGTGCCATTAAAACATGTGACTGTAAAGTTTGGCAAATTAATGAATTCAAAATATCTCCTGCGATCCACTGCGACCATGCTCGTCCACCGACAAGAGTGAGACAGTTTTTTTGAGGTCAAAAAGAATATCTTACATTATTATGATCCTATAAACAGAAGGACTGCCCCTGCGAGTCACCGTTCGGACTACCGTGGACCCCCGTTAGGATTGGTGCGAAGTATATCCCTAAAGCTAAGCCTGAGGAAGAGCAAGGGGAGCAATTCTCGAAATGTTCACGCGGCTCAGATTCGCACTTCTATCTCGTAATGTTAGTTTCTCTCCATCGATGGATAGCAACGTCCATATTATCGCTCACGGCGACAGCACTCGGCGCTACATCAGTCCAGAGTGTTATACGCAGTAGAGCAACGTCACTACTTACCGATCTTCGCACACCCGTGTCCTCCTCGGAGATATGCTACCGCAGGTATTCATTCCTTACCGTCGCGGATGAGGGTGAGGGGCAGTCATCATCGAGATTGATCCGCAAGCACAGCAAAAGATGATTCATTCGGTACTTATGGTATCGTAGTGCACAACGACTTGTACAAGCTAGAGCAGATTGGGACTAGTCGAGTGATATGGCATCAAAACATGAGCCTACTTCACTGTTCAGATGGAAGCCAGTGCGACAGATCGGACATATCATTGAGTTCAGACGGACACATGGAGAATTATGACTGCTCAGACCTGCGGCGTATAACGATCCGTCAGTCACATACGGCGAATGAGGACAAAGCGCAAGGCACTCACACTGGCACATAAACGCACGGGATATTTCGACGCTGACAATTCGCGCAAGTCTGTCGTCCATCGCACTTAAGCTTGCGCCCTATAAAGGAGTAGGTGAGACGAGCTACGATGTGCGCAAATTCAGAGACGACCAATACCTCTGCAGAATTGACACGCCATAGCAGTTCTCCGACGAGTCCTTGGAAGTGTTGAGGGATCTCTTTCATTGCTTTGTTCTTGAGTAGGTTCAATTTGTGTCTGGTCACTATCGTCCTGTCGGTGGTGTCAGCGCATAGAGAACTATAGATCTGCAACGGGAGGACCTGGCCGGAGTTAGACATCTTCGACTTCAGAATGTTCAGTGGCGGAGGGGACGGCTACGATCGCCAGGGGTGGGGGCTATCGCGAATATAAGTTTGTTCGCATCTAAGTCGGTTCCTGCCGCGGCTGTCCCATGGATTGTTGCAATTCTCCGTACCGAAAATCCGACGGCGGGATATTGATCAATGCGACTATGCTTTATGTTGATGACAGACGTGAGCGGCGTCTACACCAACAGGGTGAAAGAAGAACGATTTGGAGTCTTCATAATGTGTCAACGCTTTCTACTTGGCAGACCGGGCTGATGCCGAGTAACAGACGAGACATCGACAAGACTCAAGATAAGTACGGTCAACAATACCCCAGAAGGAGTGCGGGCATGTAAAGTAGAGATGCATCATTTTGGGCGGATAGATGAACAACAGTGCGGCTCCATCAGCTGACGGAAGGGAGAGGGTCAGTAATGGAGAGTTCGATTAATGCGGAAATCTCCTCATCGCGATATATATTGAAGCCTTGAGGTCGTTGAAGGCTATCTGTCTATGATATTGGATGGCCTCGAGTTCATCAGCGTCTGCTGTAGAAGCGCGCAAGGCGTCCTGGGTTAGTGCTGCGTTTTCAACACACCCTTATGGACGCCTCTGGCGAGGCTCTTGTAATTGGAATCACGAGACAGTAAGCTTACCGTACAGTGTGAAGAGTCGACGAGCTCACAGTTGTAGAACGAAGAGCTGGAGAGGTATGGCACTCGGGGCTTTCGCCACGTGAATGAAACTTCGACCTTTGTCGGAACCGCAGCCCGGGGTTCTATGAATCTTGATCTCGTTCGACAGAGTCGAGACGGTCGCTGCGGTCCTCTTGCTATGATTGCTCCAGGAGATCCGCCCCGATTCAGGCTAAGGCAAGAAGCACAAGTCGCACGTCTCACGACATGCAGCAACGGCGTGGCGATTGTCTGAGTGGCCATTTCAAGTTCCTGGACTACCCCAGTCAGTCAGTATCGTTTGTATGTCAAAGTATAAATAGGATACAGTTAAGTTCTCCTGGGAATCCATTTTCAATGTGGAGCGCGTATGCCTGCGAATACGTCAACACCCTCGACCGCTATGAAATATGTGATGACGAAGAACACGTAGTAGTCACGCACCAACTCCAGCATCGGTAGGGCACTGCCAGAACCATGGAATTTGGTGTCAGTGAAAATGAAATCATAAACGGCACCACACAAACACCGACTCGTATCTCGTGACGAACGAAATGAATCAAGTTGTATCGGACAATGCAAGATACCCACGCAGTACTCAACCATCGTAACTAGTCTCTACGCGCTCTCCTAGAAACCACAATATGTTGTGTCATATGATGACTACGGCTTTATGATCAATGACACACCAAACTATACAAGAAGTGCGTAATAGACGCTACAGTGCCCACGGGCAGATAAGACGTACATGTAAATACACTTGATCAGATACATTATACTGTAATGTCGCTTCCATTATGCCAAACATATCTTACACTGGAGCTGCAGTGGATTAAAGCGTCAGTGTGTCTTTATGCCCCTTCTCGCTCTCCACCTCCCCGGGGATGTCGTCGAGCTAATCGATAAACATGTCATACTGTGGGTGTGCATACGGAGAAAAGGTGGAGACCAACCTGATCGAGGTCGACGAGGCATGACTTTATGACCCTCACGGCTTTCATGAGATCCTCTTCGGATATGACAAGCGGAGGTGCGAATCGGATGCTAGTGCGGGCCATTTCACATCTTCCATCACTTAACCGTCAATAGACGGAACTTACATGTTAACATGGGTAGGCTTGGCTAGAACGCCTCGGCTCTTCAATAGGAGACAGAACTGCCACGCAGTGCGCCCATTAGTACTAGCCTCTTCATCAAGGACTAGAGCATTGAAGAGGCCGCGGCCGCGGACAGTACGGATGAGTGGTGAATCGATGGCTTTGATACCGTTCCGGAATTTCTCGCCCAATACTTCAGCGCGATGCGCCAAGTTCTCCTCGACAAGGACATCGAGTGCCGTCATCGCTACTGCGCAACCAAGTGGATTGCTAGAGAGACGTAAGAAATTTATTATCAGCTTCAAAGACGGTAGATCACTCACCCTCCATATGTGCTGCCATGCTCACCGGGTTGAATGCACAGCATGATATCTCGGTCAGCCAGCACAGCTGATACTGGATAAACTAACAGCACAACAGCTCAGCAACCGGAACAAGATAACCTTATCAACAGCAATCACCTCCACCAGACAAAGCTTTCCCAAGAAGCACAATATCCGGCCTTACATTATCGTGCTCGCAGCATAACATCTTACCAGTACGGCACAGACCCTATTCGGAGCTAACATTACGAATTTCGTAATCTGCACGCAAAACAACATACCGTTTGGATTTCATCGCAAATAAGTAGCACATTATGCTTAGTGCATAGCTCACGGACTTTCGCGAGATAGCCTGCAGGAGGTACGACGACTCTGGAATTAGACAGAAACTCAGCAGGTGCTGGGATCGTTGGCAATTCATACATACCCAGCTTCGCCCTGAATTGGCTCCACTAAGAATGCGGCAACATTCTTTCCATGAAGTTCCAGAGCACGTTCGAGGTCGGAGATTTCGCCATACCGCAGAATCCTTGATTTCCCGTTATCCTCGAACACCGGACCAACGGCTTGAAGATAGGGCCCAAACCCTCCACGGCTCTCCGGATCGGTGCTCATGCTATTCTCTTGTGTAACAAACTCAAAACCTTACTCGAGAATGGCTAGAGCACACACCTAATGACGCCGATCGTTCTTCCATGGAAGTTACCCTCAACGCTGAGCACGATGGCCTTCCCATCTTGTACACCCTTCTTCTGGTATGCCCATTTCCTGGATAGTTTAATAGCAGTTTCAACAGCCTCTGCGCCTGTGTTCATGGGAAGGACCATGTCATATCCAAACAGCTGAGTAATCTTCTGGGCAAAACTACCGAAGGTCGAATTGTAGAAAGCACGCGAGGAAAGCGTCAACTTCTGCGCCTGCTGAACGAGGGCGTTGACAATCCTGGGATGACAATGTCCCTATTGTGGAGCGAATCAGTATCATCGCTATCTGAAACTGCTTAGCGTATATCCAGATGAGTACGACAACACAATCGCCGCTCGGGCCCTAAGGGCAGTATACACCGAAGATTTACCGCGACAGCATTGGGGTGTCAAACATGCATCTGATTACACGTGGATGCATGGTCTTTAGTGCCAGAATCTGAGGGCAGATTCTTGTTTCGTAGAAACGAAACCACAAAGACAAGTACCCTTCATCAGTTTTTGGGCCGAGCCCCGATGGCCTAGTGCGAAACCCGTCCAGCTTCGAATGCAGGAGCTGCTAGATGCGTCTCTGGTGCACACTCGATCGACACCAGATTGAATGATGACAAACCTGGTTAACCGCCCTAAGAAATGAAAAAGACGGCAGTCATCAGGGTCACGCCTTCAGGACACACTATGGGATTACTCACGAATAGGCGGAGAGCATGTCGATATATTCATGCCCCTCTGGGTCCCATACCCTGCGGTCCGAGGTCAGCCCGATCGATGTATTAACCCCGTCGCAAAATGGACTCACTTTGCGCCTTTCGCTCTATCGAAAACAACGGGCAGAGGGTGGTAACTAATGACATCTGTGTCAGCATGGAGAAATCCAACAGATATAAAAGAGGACGCGCGAACTGTCTAGGCTACTGGGTTGACCATCATCGTTTCCTGTGGCTGGCACGGAATCAAATAGATCAAAGACTCGGTGGCAAAACAGATAACACGGTGATGCAATTGGTCAGGATCCTACAGGCCCTGACACTCACTTATGGGCCCCATGCTCGTGCTCAAGTCGTATTACATCTGCCGAGGTGAGATGTACCTGTCCGCCGCTTCCGTTCTTCGTGGACTTCAAGGTTCCTTTGCCACTAGGGACGTATTCAGTTGCTGAGAGCGCCGTCGGTGCCATTATCAGGAAAGTATATAGGTGATGCTTCGAGATTGTTGCTGGTGTGTGTATGACTGAGGAATGCTTTGCTGTGGATGTGGTTCCAGTTCAAGAGCGGCAGTTGAGTGGACTCGTGGAGGCTGCCCCGAGTCACGCTTCGCTCCTGGCGCCACAAAAGGAAAATGACGGCACGGATCTAAATGCGGCCTTAAAGTCGGTTGGCTCGAAACATTCGCGTACGGATATATGGATAAGAATTATCCTAGTAGTTTGTTGCAGGTGTATCAAATAAATAGCGAAACCCCTACTATGACATGACGTATAAAAAACGCTACAACTCCTATTATATCCAAGTGAGGCTAGTAGAATATACGTGAATGACAATGTTGCAATAAATAATCCGTTGGTTGTCAGATAATGATACGCATATCGAAGAGCAAAGCACAGAGATCTAATGGCCCAAGGTCTGAACGTCCCTCGCAGAGTTACCGTAACTCTGGAGGCCATTTGTTCCGAGGTTGCCATCGGCCTTCAGCATCGAACCGCGGATTCGTCGGGAACGTCAGACCATCCGAGGGGCTTCGTCCGATCGGCACTGAGGACCGTACAGTAAGTCAGGTTCTATAAAAGTAGTATGCATGAAGCCACTGACAGAACCACTCCCAGATATGGGTACCCATGACTGACTCCCAGTTCTGTCTATAGCTCCCAAGCCACCATAGATTTCCTTCCGAGCCAATCTTGCCCCATTCACTGTCCCAATGCCTCTTTGTTCGGCCTTTAGCGCTGAGCATGAGAACACATGAGTGGATGTAAGGAACAGCAGATTGGGCAATGCTTACGCGAGCTCATACCAAGCATGCAGACGTGCCAAAACTACTTTCTCGCGCTCTTTCATTCTTCGCATACCCAAAGACTCAACCGTTGTTTGGTTGTGCATGATTAAATCAACATGTGACCCCAATAGTGCCGAGGTAAATAACGTGAAAACCGCAGATCTGTCACCATTATCAGAGTGCAGATTCAAATAGAACTGCAGAATGTGGAAATACTCACAAGACGATGATAGCAATCTTTTCTCCATCGACATCCCTATATCTGATCCCTGACCTGATCACTTCCGCCATGAGGGTTGTGAAAGTCCACATGCAGAACAAACAGGCCCATCCAAGAAAGATAACGAAAAACTATATATCCCAAGCTATATTCAGCATTCCCACCACTACGCAGATAGACCTGCCTTGTGGTTGCGAGCACCAACGCATTGTCCGATCCCTGAAGGTCGATAAGCAAACAGATAGCCAAAATAACACAATGCGCATACATGGACAGTGATGATCATATCTAAGCACGCACTGAAGGTTACGTCAGTCTCACGCAAATACGGGCATGTTTTGTGGAGCCTTACCGTGCCGCAAGCACGACAATGATGAGCCCTTGGCGGCTTGACAAAGCCCTCCTTGTGACAGTACCGATACTGTGGAACAAGGACCGGATATTGCGAAGGCTCCCTCGTATACATCCGAGAAGGACGAGTCGCACTTCCATTGTGAGCGGACACATTTACATTAGTTGACCGCGCCGCATGTGCTTCAGCAATAGGAGGAAATGCATCGGTCACAGCAGCGTTATCTTCGGCTACGATTAGAACGAGCTGCAATACAAAAATCGCCCACTTCAAATATTGCTCACCATCTTGATCAGTATCGTCTGCCATCGACTGCTGTGAGTTCATGTTTCGCAATGGCTGGGCAATAGAATCCTGTTGCGCAGGAGTATAATTGAAAGCTCCCCCTGGAATATCCCTGGAGGAATCCCACCAGACCGGTAGGGCCTCGTCCACCATCGGTTGAGATTCTTTCTGCACATGCTAGATGAGGCACTTAATTCAAAAAGACTTCAGTAATGATGACAATGATGACACACATTTTTTGCGAGGCCTGGGGACGTTATGCATACCTGCGACAACCGTGAAGTTCTACTTTCCTCAAAAGATGAGATCGACATACCCGCACATAGGCCCAAATCATTAGAAGCGCAAGCACACAAAAAACCACTAGAAACCCGACTTGAACCCAGAGCGTCAACGCATGATCTACAGGCTAGCTGTTCACCACTTACTGCCTAGATGTCGACCGCCCAGCGCCCCAGTATTATGTTTAATCATAGGAACACAAAATCTGCCGATGTAAACGTAGCATGCATACGCAATGATTCCAAGAGTCACGGCAATGGTCATCTTGAGAACAATCCAGGGCATCGGTTTCCTTCGCCTTTTGTCCCGCCTCTCTCTTGAACGAGCGGTAGCCTCCTCAACAACGCCGCAGCATTTGGCTTCGTCCATACTTGGTTTGCTTTCATCTTTGGCCATGTGCGATAATAGAGGTCGTGCGGGGTAACCGTTTGGGAAACCAGATAACAACCACAGGCGTTGTCTGGATGTACGCCCGCAGCCCGTGGATTTGGACAATTGCTTCCATATGCTGTGCGCCGCTATGACGCGTAAGAAAAATCACATGATACACCCCGTTTCGAGTCCTCGACTCTTGAAGTTTGAGAGTCGAGACTTGAGTCTGAGTCTTGCCTGATATCATATCGACGGCTTCTCCTAAGTATCGTATCCTGGCCGAACGCATAATATTTAGGCGCAGTGGGCTTGAGGATTTCAGAGCTTCAGCTTGAAACCGGCTTCTGTTCATCCACTTGGTTTTTGTTACGACTACATGGGCTATAGCGATGCCGACTCGGACTCCCTTGACATTGCAGGCGACTGCAAATGCAGTCCTCTTTGCCAAAATGTCAAACTTCTTTGTCGAGGCCTGTCGTGGCCTTTCTTCCGTAGCTCATTCTGCTCTACAATGGAATGTCTGTTTTGGTGTGTTCAGATCGTGTCGCTATATGACCACTTATTGCGAGTGGATCTTGGCCTGACTAATTCTCTGCGGCGAGACCTGCCTTGGTGAGATATCCCCCGACGTATTCGCGCGGTTGGTCCATGTCTGGGAATTGGAATCAGTGTGGCCAGGATTTTTCCCATTGAGCACTGATGATGAGTCCAACAACACCCCTCCTTTGTCTACGAAACCCAAACTCCGCACTGATTCCAATTTTGTCAGTCATCGATACCAAGTTCGTTTAGTATGTTCATTGCAATGCCTGTGTTCTAAAAAGGAAGAATAAAGCAAACTCTTGAATGAAATACAGACTATACTATCTCCCCCCCATCTATAGCTGAATGTTCTGCTTCTACCAAGCATGCAGTCATCTGCAGCGACCTAGAGCTTCGAAACTGGCCGAGCTCTTTGATACGAGATCACCAACGTTCTTGCGTCGACACAGCTTGAAGCTCGATCCGCTGTCAGGTGGCGTTACCGGTTCGACAGTTATCCGAGCCGGTTGCTTAGTTTCTCCGTGAAGCTTCATTTTGGTCTTCGATCCTCGACAGCATGCTATGTTCCTCGCGTTCTCCACCACTTCGACATACAACGTCGCGTTCACAAGACGAAGTTTATACCGACGACGCTCCGCCAGCAGCGCGCTTTCCCCTTTTTTCGAGGTCACAAGGCCAATATTCACGTACTCGTCTAAGGGTCTACATCATCCGACATCACTTCGTACAGTGAGTCGTATGAGTCGTACCCGGTATAAAAAGGCCATGTCGAGGAAGATTTTATCGCTGTCTGCCAGTGGTGCTGTCTTCCAAGCATGTTCGCGCGCTGGGTCACTTATATTCTGCTCGGCCTGCTGGTCTTTACTAGTAGTGTGGGCGCAATTGGACAGGAAACCTGCGTTTCTTTCACGTCATCATCTTCGTCGTTTTCTGTCGTCAGCGGTGGTAGTGCAGCCCCGATTCTGCTCTCTGAGGATGACTGGGGAGGGGTACAACGTGCCGCGTCTGATTTTGCCATGGACATTCATTACGTTACTGGGGTCATGCCGGGGCTTTACAATGTCACTATTCCAACCACTAGTGCGAATCTGAGTAGTGCTCTTATTGGCGGCCCTCATGCAATCATTGTTGGGACACTTGGCCAGTCCTCGTTGATCAGCGAGGTGGTGAAGAACACGAACTTGGATGTTTCTTCCATCGAGGGGAAATGGGAGGCGTTTTTGACAAAGGAAGTCGCGAACCCTCTCCCTGGGATCAGCAGTGCGTATGTTATGATCGGTGCGGACAAGAGAGGCACCATCTATGCCTTGTACGATCACTCAGAACAATTCGGTGAGTATGCCTGTATGAAGAAATAGCTATGCATGTTCATCATCTCTACCGAAATGCAGGCGTGTCGCCATGGTATTGGTGAGCATGATGTCTTCGATGCCCGAGTTGGAGCTGAACGCGCTGATGTGTACAGGTGGGCCGACGTTCCGATCAAAACTCACCCCGAGCTTTACGTGACCTCGTCTGGCTGTGCGCATGGCATCCCTACTATCCAGTACCGAGGATTCTTCTTGAACGATGAGCAGCCTGCTTTGCAAAACTGGGCCATGGCAAAATTCACCAACGGGACTGGTGCGGCACTGACAGGCTCTCCGTTCAATCATTTCTTCTACACCAAACTGTATGCGTTTTGATCCCTAAAGCTGCACTTGCAGTCGTTCTGATATATGATCTCAGGTTTGAGCTCATTTTGCGTCTGAAGGGGAATTATCTATGGCCCGGTACGTGGCGTTGAATTCGCGTGAAGGGTGGAACAAACCTATTCTTCGCCCAAATTAGCAATGTGGTCAAGGTGCGCTACTATGCACACTGGTGTTGCGTTGCGACGACCTGAGCATGGCTTACTGGATTCTATAGTGCATTCGGGGTTGACGATCTTCTCAACCAGCCCCTCGCGAATTGGTACGGCATTGTGATGGGAACCAGTCATGAAGAGCCCATGATGCGGTCGATCCCCGTCGAATGGAACTTATTCGGCGTCGGTCCGTGGGATTACGATACGAATGCGCAGAACATCTACGATTTCTGGGTTGTCGGTGCTGAACGAGCGAAACCATACGAAAACATCTTCACAGTCGGCATGCGAGGAGATGGTACGTGATATGAAGTATACATATGATCTTGTTGACATCTTATGGTTCTGTATGAAGGTGATGGTGAGCTATTCTTGTTCATATCACAAAAATTGTACCCAAAGATGCTGTCGTTTGCAATAAGAACCGCTTGCGGGTGGTCAGAACATTGCGCTCTTAGAAGAAATTATCGCCAACCAGCGCACCATTTTGGGAGACACCTATCCAGGTCAAAATGTCACTACTATCCCTCAGATGTGGTGTCTTTGTGAGTGGGCCGGACATTAGCTTCGATATGCTATTCATATTCAGCCTCGCAGACCAGGAGGTCCTAGGGTACTATTACGACGGGATGACTGTACCAGATGACGTCACTCTCTTATGGCCTGACGATCTGTATGTCCTGAATGGCCGCGTGAAATCCGCTGCGACTCATCGTGAATGGTATAGCTTCGGCAACATGGAACGTCTTCCCACCATAGCGGAACGTAACAGGACAGGCGGAGCAGGTGTATACTACCACGTACGCTCTCCTGAATTCCTCCCCTCCATCTGGCACTAATAATCACCTACTTCTCGCAGTATGACCTTGCAAGTGATTGATGTTATAATGCTTGACCGCGCACTGACATCGGAGAAGGTGGGAGATTTCAGGGACTACAAATGGATTGTCGTACGTAGGTTCATATCGCCTGATTCGATCGTCCTCTCACAGAAGGAGCCTGTTTTCAGAGTAGCCAAATGACAAAGGTGTGCCACGACGTCATCCATGATTCAACCATTGTGTCTCATGCGATCATCACGGCAGACATACGAACAAATGTCGCTGGCAACAGCCCGGAATGCCACCCGTATATGGATCGTCAACGTCGGCGACCTCAAGCCCTACGAGTTGAACACCGAATTCTTCCTCACCTACGCTTGGGATACTTCACTATGGGACATGAACAACCTCGACACGTTCGTAACGTTGTGGGCGGAACGTGAATTCTCCCTCTCCTCTGAAGATGCGGCGACGGTCGCAGGCATCATCGCGAACGTCACTCGCTTTAATTCAAATAGGAAGCCCGAATTATTGAACGGCACGGTGTACAGCTTGTGGAACTACCGAGAGTGAGTCCAGCGGAATGATAGTCTGACCCGCCGCTGATTCGGGCTGCCATCGTGGAAACCAGAGCGGAGAACCAGATAGCGATGTGGCAGGCGACCAACGAATCTGCGACAGCCATCCGCAACAAGCTCGCCGAGAGCACTCTGCCCGCGTATTTTGAACTCGTCTACCATCCGGTCCAGGCTAGCTTCACTCTCTTCAACATGTGGTATGCCGCAGGGATGAACAACCTGCGTGCGTCCCAAGCGTTCCTCAGCGCCAATTACTACGCCGCCGAGGTGGAGGCTTTGTTTGACCAGGATTGGGAACTGGAGCTTGAATACGACACCCAGCTTGACGGTGCGCGTGCCATCGGATATTGTGATTTTCAGAGTCTTACATCTGCGTGCAGGGAAATGGTAAGTTTTGCTACACGATCCTGACCATCTTGGGATGTCGAGTGAATATTTCTAGGGCGCATATGATGAGCCAGACGCATGTCATGTACTACTACTGGCAGCAACCACAGGCAAATACGTAAGTCACGTACACTGAACCTGTCCAGAGTTGTGAGCGACATCCTTCCTCAGTATGCCGTATATCACCAAGTATCAAGCGCGCAAACAGGCCCTGGCCGGTGCCATGAGGATCGCACCCGAAGGTACTCAAGCAGCCTGGTACGTCTACGGTCGATCCTGAAAGAACCATGCACAAATTGCATACATAGGCCGGGTGATAACGAGTACCAGTGCGCTCAAGGATACAGCTGCCCTGATCCCACCCTTTTCTTGGACCCTTACGTGCCTGCTGGCAATCGGTACATCGACATCGGCGCTGGCGGACCTGCTCCATTCAACTTCACTGTCGCCAGCAACGTATCATGGCTGACGCTCTCTTTCACGGAGGCCTCTATCTCCCCCAGCGTCCCCGAACAGCGACTGTATGCATCGGTGGACTGGAGCCAGGTCACGGAGACAGAGTACGGGTTGATCACCCTTAATGCGAGCGTCATTGACCAGCCGAATGAGGTGTTCACCATCGGCTTCGTCGCCAACTACACCGAGGTGCCTGAAGATTTCACAGGTGAAGCGAGAATGCATCCCCGTGCCGTTTCCCTTGTGCTGATTGCATTACAGGCTTCGTCGAAGGAGACGGTACCATAACGATGGAAGCTGTGCATGCAGCGCGGAACACGTCCGTCGATGGGATCACCTGGACGAACCTACCAGGGTACGGGCGGACCCTGTCGGGGGTGACGCCGTGGCCCCGTGGGGGCGACGAGCTGAACTTCACCGTCGGGACTGGACCGAGCATGTGGGTGCGGTGTCTGCGCACGCGTGGGCCCCTGCTGACAGTGTCCGCCCGCGCAGCGAGTACGACTTTTACAACTTGCACACGTACAACGACTCGGGCAATATCACCGTCACCACGTACCTCGCCGTGACGCTGAACACGCTGGGCCCCGACCGGCCGGTGGCGCTCGGCTTCCAGGTCGACGCGGACGAGCCGCAGGTGGACTACTTTGTGCCGAACGTCACGCCGGGGACGATGCCCGCCGCGTGGAACGGCGTGGACGGCTGGGCGGCGACGAACGTCATCCCGATCACGCTCAGTTTCTACGCCGAGCCGGGCGCGCACACCTTTACGGTGGGTATGGTATCGAGCATCTCTGTCCGTCGAGTGGTCTGGCTGACGTGTGCGACGACAGCTCTGGATGATCGAGCCGACCGTGATCGTGCAGAGGATTGTTATAGGTACGCGCTTCGACTCTCCCTGTGGCTCCCGAGTCGGCTCACCGTTCCCCCGCACTGGCAGACACCGGCGGAGTGCTGTCGAGCTATCTGGGTCCCCCGGAGAGTATACAGGTGTGGTAGTAGTCCAGTGGAGCGAGGCTCCAGGCTGTGTGGTAGATACGTCGCGGACTCTATGGAACACAGATGATTTAGTACGAGTTGGTGTGGGCTTGTCTGCTTTGTGGGCTGCTCCAAGTGGGCCCCGCATCCAGTGGTAAGTCGACGGAGGCCCGGGCCGGAACGATCGAGGTCGACTTGTGGCCGTGCGTCCACCTCCTAACTTGGCCACGCCGACCTGCTCCATCTCCATCCCACTCCGTTCTCGCCCCGAGCCCGTCCAAAATGCCCCGCGCCCGCCGCCTCACGCCCTCGTACCACTACATCCGCTTCTCGGTGGCGCCCCCCCGCGCGGACGCGCTCGCCATCCGCAAGGCCATCCAAGACGCCCTCGCGCAGTCGTTCGGGCTCGTCTCCGCGCACACGTACGCCGACGTCCTCTGGGTCGCGCCCGGCGGCGCAGAGGCGGTGGTGCGGCTCGGCCACAGGTGCGTGCCCCGCCCACACACGAGATGCTCGTCGCCGACGCACCGATCCCCCCCCCCCCTTTTTTTTTTTTTTTTTCTTTTTTTTT